TTATACATGGAATAGTTCATAGGTACAATAAACAATAATGAAAGATGTTTTATGTATTTTGGATGACTAGAAATCGTTCCATACCTGGTGATATTGTGTGTGTCCAGTTGCTTGATAGATCAGAATGGAAAGGAGTGACAAGAAAGTTACCATTAAGAGATAATGATGAGTCACATGATGAATCGTATGACAGCCCCAGACCAACTGGTAGAGTGGTTGGTATATGGTCTCGTTCTGATAGAGACATCATTGCTAGTTTTCCAGTTAAGTTTAAACAACGAAGATGCTTGAGTTTATAGCTAAACTCACTACAATATGTACATGGCTTAGGGGCAACTTTAAAAATTTGTAAAAAATTTACTTTTGATCGGAATCAGCCAAAACTTGCTACACAACATAAGAACATGTATATGTATCAGAAAAAATATTAAGATGCAAAATTCTCTCCTAGCTATTTTTGAAGAAATTTGGCTGAGACCACATGGCTTTTGGTTGGTGGCCCAATTTTTTAGCAACTTTAAAAATTTATAAAAAATCTAAATTTAATCAGAATCAGCTCAAAGTTGATGTATAGCATATTGACATGTATATACATTGGAAAAAGTATTAAAATGGAGAATTCTCTTTTAGTCACTTTTGACAAAATTTGGCTAAAGTGAGCTGATTATGATCAAAATTGAATTTTAAAAATAACCTCTAAAAGTTAAATAAATTCCATTGACTAAAGTCAATAAATAGCTAAAGAGGCTATTATTAAATACATATTGATAGCCTTGTGTTATGCAGAAAGCTTAATTGACTAAAGTTTTTGAGTTTTAAATTATTTTTATTTCATTGACAGGAAGAAAATGTTTCTAGTGATAAAATGAGAAAGGTACTTGTTGTACCGTATGATATAGGAATACCTAAAATAAGAATAAATACAAGACTATCAAATGAACTCAAACACCACAGGTAAGACTGATACTCATACTGAAGAATAGGAACAAAAGTATGAGCATGAATTTTTTCAGGATTGTAGTTCGTTTTGATGATTGGGATATCAATTCTCATTATCCTAATGGTCACTTTGTACGGAGCATTGGACCTATAGGAGATACTGAAGTATGTAATAATTCTCACTAATTTTTTTTATGTTCCATTCCTTTAGACTGAAATCCAGGCTATACTAATTGAGAATGAGCTTAGCACTAGCAGCTTTACTCAATCAATACTCTCTGAATTACCAGATGGGGACAGTTGGAAAATTGAAGATGAAGAGTTGAGAAAGAGAAGAGACTTACGATCGCACCTCATATACAGTATTGATCCTAAAGGCTGTGAGGATGTGGATGACGCTCTCTCTGTTAAGTCAGTATTATATTTCATGTTGCTTTAATTACCATAATTATTATGCTTATTGTTCTTAATAGGTCATTAAGGAGAGGCATTGAGTTAGGTGTGCATATTGCTGATGTGTCATATTTTGTAAGATCTGGTAGCTATACTGACAGAGAGGCTAAAGAGAGGTCAATAAAGAATTAATAATAACTAAAAAATTTAGTCAATATGGTAATAAATAGGTCAACGACTGTGTATTTAGCTGATAGAAGATATGATATGTTGCCAGCTGTACTTAGCTCCAACCTTTGTTCATTACTCAGTAATGTAGACAGGTAGAACTAAAAATATTTTTAAAATTTACTGAATAACTTAAATGTCTTTTTCTTAGATATGCTGTAAGTGTTATATGTACATTAGATCCACATTATGAAATTAAAAGTATTTGGTATGGACGTACAATAATTAGATCAGCTTATAAACTAACTTATGAGGTATAACTGCCTAGCTCATTTCTGATTCTTAATCATTATTAATTTTACAGGTAGCACAGGATTTGTTTGAAGATAAAGATGATGAATATATGATAAGTTTAATACCTGAATTGAGTGAATCAAAATTAACACCACCAGAACTCGCAGAAAAGTATGTGAACGTAATGTGTATAATACAGTTAGACAATCAGTTTTACCCTATTTTAACTGGTTTGCAGAGTCAGTGAATTGAGGCACTCAATAAAAAAGTTGGTGGAAATTGCACGTGTACTAAGAGAAAAAAGAAACAGGAATGGTATGATTTTAGATTTAAAGAGGACATTAAGAATAGTTGTTAGGTGCACTTGAACTTGAGGGAGTTGAAGTGAAAATACAAATGACTGATAAAGACAATATTGATGACATAATACCTAAAAAGGTAATCAATAATACATTTATTGCTTATTTATTTATTTTTGACAGCCACAAGAGATACATGAAACAGTTGCAGAGTGCATGATATTTGCTAATGAATGGGTTGCTAGGAAAATATCACATCAGCTACCATCAAAGGCACTGGTATAAACTATTGTTTCTTGTCCCTGTCTACCCCTTTCTCCTCCTTTCTTCTTTTCTGTCTCTCATTCTTCTTTTCCCTCTCAATTTTGTATGCATGTTTCTCTCTTCTTTTTATTTTTTGTTTTATATTAGTTACGTAGTCATGGTGCTCCTCCACAAGATATGTTTTCTTCACTAAAGGAATGCGCCTCTGCACGTGGGTATGTAATCAAAACTAGCAGTAATCTAAAACTAGCTCAATCACTTGATAATGCTGTTGATGAATTTGATCCTGAAGTCAATAAGGTCAGTCTGTTGTCAGATGGTAGTCACATTATCATATCACACAAAAAGGTATTGAGAATGTTAGCGACACAGTCGATGATACAAGCATTGTATACATCTACTGGCTCTAATCATAAATTAAGTCACTATGGACTGGGAATAGAGTGTTACACTCACTTCACTTCACCTATTAGGAGATATGCTGATCTACTGGTAAGAGAAGGGAGAGAGAGAGAAAAAAGGCCTATATTCATGA